CGGCGGCCGCCCCGCCGGCGTTAGCGTTGTGTGTGCTTCCATACACCGCGTGGTGTTAATAAACAGAGCGTTTTTGGCCGGGCTGGAGCTTGGTTTGGGGTATCGCAGAGAAATCGGTCAGTTAAAGGGAAGTTGCTGCAGTCTGAGGCCTGAGCGAGGTGTGGGGCGGTGGGTGCTGGGGGGGGCACAGCCCCATAGCCGCTGCGGTGGAGGCGGCTGGCGGGGCTGCGGTGGTGCGAAGGCAGCAGCACCCGGGTGAGAAAAATAGGGAATGGCTTCGGTGTTTGCTTCGTACGTTGCCCGTTTCACTGAATCACAACGTTATTCTGTGCTTGGTTTCACTCTCCACACACAAAAATGGTTGGTTTGGGTTTTTTTCATTGCGAGATAACGCTACAAAAATCGCAGGGAAGGTCAGGAGGTGACTGAGCTGCCTCCGAGCTGCTGTGCCTTAAACCAGCCGCCATGAGCCCCAAGGTCGCGTCCTACCAACCAGCGACAGCCGGAGCTGGGCAGCGTTGGGTTGGCTTTTTCGGCGTGGACAGCCTCCTCTGCGCCCCAGCACAAACTCTGGTGTCGGAGGTGGGACTCACTGCTTCGCTGTTAGTTTTGAATTGGTAGGCAGGATCTGTAACACAACACTCAAACCTGTTTTGGTTTTTTTTTCCCATGGCAACTCTAACATGACCTGTAAATGTATATACACTATGTGGGGTTTGTAATTTGTATCTGCGTTCACAGAAGCGTGTGATTTGTCTGAATTATAATTGCTTTGTGCCGTAAGTGAATGGATCAATTTCAATGTAACTTGCATTGCATTTCCTTTTTCCTTTTAAAACAAACAAACAAACAAAAGTCATGCAATTGCTTTGCTTGCAGTTAAACTGCTGAAAAGTTCAGCATTGGGCCACATGAGGTGTTCTGGAGCGTGCAGGTATCGAGTTCTGAACCTTTACTTATTTCAGCCATCGTACACCTCAGTGGGAAAGCTGCATGCAGCCGCGGATGGACCACGCGTTTTTCTGTGCAGCTGTTCTCCAGCACAGAGCTGCCAAGCAGGGGCGGCATAGAAATTGCAACCTACAGTCGCTGTGAAGTTGCTCCCAGCGGAGAAGCAAACAGGAAGAACTTCCTGTCATGTTTGAACAAGATCAGTTTGTCCTTCAGAGTCCTTGGTGCTTTCAGCTGGTGACTTTGCAGAGGTCACGGGTGATATCCAGACATAACTGAATTTTGTCATTGACTTAAGCGGATAATTTTATCCAGTAGATTTCTTCTTAAAAGGTTGGCCTTCTGCAGAAGGGGACGTCCCTGATTTCTTTAAAAAGGGTAATGTCACCATGACATTTTGAGAAGAGTCCCAACATTACAAGCACAGGAAAACTTGGCTGATGTTCAATAGACCAGCCATTACAGGGGTGCCTTTTCACTTCTTATACCACTGAAGGTCTTTTGCCTTAGTTTTAATATGAAAAATTGAGGGTAGAGGTGGGTTTTAATAAAGCCTGCCTCTTCCATGGCTTTTGTAAGATATTTTATCTCTAGGCAGCTGGCAAAGGTGTTTTGGCTAAAATAATTTTTGTATTGTTAATTTTTTAATCAAAACTTTTGTATTAAATTTTTAAAAAATAAATTACTTATTAAAAAGTAGACATTAGTACCAACAGATAAGCTCTGCATATAAATTAGAAAAAAAAAAGAACAGGTCTGTTTTGAACAGTGTGGATTTTTTAATTTTTTAAGATTTACAGTATATAGAAAAGAGGTTGGTGCTGCCCCACCTCCCCAGATGTTCTCAGTTTCCAAAGGGAATGGGTAAAAGAGAAGGCACAACTGCTTCAGCAATGGCTTAGTGGAACGGTTACAACAGCTTAACTAGCAGTATGTACCAGGAGCAATACAGCAGGACAAACTGTCTGCATGTACCTACTAACAGGCACACACACAAAAAAACAAGGGCATGAAACCACAGCAAAACTTTGGACTGTGAAAAGACTTCCCTGTACTCCCACTGCAAAGGGACAGCGCTCTCTCTACATCTCTCAGGTTGTGTCCAAAAAGGCAAAAATTGGGGCCTAACTTCTTACATAAAGACACAAAGAAGACCCAGCTGTTTTCACTGGTCACTTTAGAAGTACATCAGCGTGAGATGAGCAAACATCTTATTAATGTATGTCACGGCACCTATTTACTGGTGCCTTTGCCTCTTTCTTTCAATGCATGTATCGTCAAACAGCCTATGCAGAATGCAAAATTATATTCTGAAGGACTCAGCCTTTTTCTTTTAAACTAAACCGAGAAAACTAAAAATGTAAATACCAGGGTCCTCAGGACCTGGCCATTTCTAAAACTTCAGTTAATTGGTTGCATGCCAAATACCTCACTTTGTTATAAAACTTCCTTTAAAAAATAGTTAAAAAAATTACAGAAAGAAAAGTAAAAACATTTAAAGCATTCTGTGTTTAATGAGGGCTTTCCAAAGCCCTTTGCCCAAACTAAATATGTATTAGGTGCTATAAGAACAAAAATATAAACTGCTTTTTCTTTGATAAGCTTCTTAAAACACATCGTAATTAAGGCATGCCATAACACGCTGCACTGCCGCTGTAAAAGGAAGAACGCAAACCCAGGATGTAGCCAATGTGGCGTCCCCAGGGACTGCTCAAAGAAAATTTTACTGCAAATGGAGAAGGGGAAGAACCTGCCTTATTCATGGCGGGAGGGGGGAGGAGTAAGAATGGCAAAACCCAGAATGAGTTTGTACCAGTCAACTGGAAAGGAAGAAAGCTTTTGTAAGGATATCACAAGGAGGGTGGGAAAAGGAGCTAGGAGGAAATAAGTTCTAATAATAAATGAGAATTGGGATTAAATTACTGATAAAACCACCAGAGATACTGATTCCCTTCTTAACTCTGTCTGTAATATGACACATTTCAAACGTGGAAGTGGACTTAGGAGCTTTAGGCATGCTTTTTTCTTTACTACGTTTGACAACTTGATAAGATCAAACTCTGTCCTGTTACGACAACATAACACCACCATAGTTTTCTTCAATTAAATTATTCCTGACATACAGTGGAGCCAGCTAGACAATTTTGACCTAGAGATGTATTACTGCTGCAAACTGACATGAATATCACCACTGTCATTCACCAGTGTATCTTCTGCCTAAACCATCTTTCAGTCAGTAATTGCTGAGTTTGCAGTTAATATTCATGTTCTTAACAAGGTACGGGAATGCTTATTTGGAAAGAAAGGTTGTTCATAATCGACTAGATAAGAATGCACCATCTGAGGCACATAGTTTTATGTGATAAAAGGAGATATCATTGAGAAAGGCGATTACAAATCTGTCTGTCTTGCTACAGAATCCAAGACTCCTTCAAAGAGTTTAAATATTTAGATTAAGATGTCATGCAGGGTCTTTACGCTTAAAATAATCAGTCACCAGAGCCAAGCAGATCACGCAGGGTTCTCGTGCTCAGTGCTCTTTTTACAAAGCAACTGCTAAAAAGAGAACTTCTCAGCAGTACCATCCTTCATCGCTGCTTTACAGGGTTTAAATATGCATGTGTTCAACATATGCTTTATACTCTTCACTGCAGAACGGGTTTTTTTTCCTTTTTAAAGTTTTCCCAAATAAAAAAAAATCACACTGATTTTCATATTTTGTATAAATATATGGTTATATATTTTATATAGATGATGGGTGATTGTTCACATTCGTGTTCCTGATGGTGCATCAACTATCAGCAGGTAAAAAAGCCAGAAGCACTGGCTTGAGGAAATAGTAACAAATTGAGCTTACAAATTCAAATCACAGACTGTTTTCAATGGC